CAGAATTGCTTTAATTTACATTTTTTCTTATTAATAGTGGTATAGAAATTTGTTTCTATGACTTTAAACAACCCCTTCTGATACCTGTGTTTCATATCCTTTGACCATTTATTTGTTCATTGGGGAATGGCTTTTTTTCTCTTACATTTATATCAATATATCTTGAATATTAAATCTTTATAAGAGAAATTTGTTGTAAAGGTTTTTCCCCCCAGGTAACTGTTTCACTTCTAATTCTAACTATTGATTCTGTTTGTGTAAAAGCTTTTCAATTTTATGTAATTAAAATTATCCATTTTGTCACTTTTGATTACCTTTATCCCCTGTTTAGTAAAGAATTCTGCTCCTGTCTGTAGTTGTGAAAATATCTCCTTCTTGAGACATGTATCACGGTCAATGCGATACATGGTATAAATATTGATTATACTTATTTGTTATGGGGAAGGGGTGCTTGTATTTTGGTGGAAGGGAAGGGAGTGGTGAATAGGTGGGTAGTGATAGATACATAAAAAAGAAATAAAAGAATATCAATAAAACATTAAAATATTCAGAGGAAAACCAAAATAAGTTCACAAGAGGACATAAATGGCAATCTTGTTAATACCTTGTTAAATTTAATACTTTTAAAATAAACAAATTACACACAACAGTTCATTGTTTCATATATAGTTCCATTCTTTGCTTTTCTTTATATACTGAAATATTTGAGTTTGTGGATGATTGTTGAAGAAAATTAAAAAACAAGAAGAATAATCAGAGTTGTTCTCCTTTGGACCATTTCTGGATAAAAGAGGAGAAATGACATAGAGAGAAGTGGTAGCCAGAGAGGGGGGTTTGGCTTGGAAAGTCACAGAGATGGTGAATGGAGGAATAGGGGAGTATATTGGCATATATTTTCCAGTAGCAATGGCAATACCAATTTGATTTTATTTCCAAAGCTAAAAAGTGATATGGGGGGAAGGAAGTGAAGATAATAGTCCTAGTAGGAGGATGATAATTCCAGTGGATGGAGTTTCAGAGGTGAAAAGGTTAAAAGTCCCACAGAGAACGGTCTCTGGCTGGAGAGAACCATGGCAGAATGGATAGGCAGAAGATGGCCAGGGTATAAAGTGAGGCATGAGACACTTGAGGAAGAAGAGGAAGATAGAACCATTATTTGCCGCTAGTATCGCAGTAGTAGTAGTAGTAAGGAAAGCAGCATGGTTTAATGGAAAGAACACTAGACTTGGAGTTAAAGGGCTTGGATTCAAATTCTCATTCTGCCACTTATTATCTATCCATGTGACCTTGGGCAAATCACTTCCCCTCTCTGGCTTTCAGTTTTCCTCATCTATAAATTTAGAGCATTGGACTAGATGATATCTAAGATTCCTTCCAGCTCCTCTGATTCTGTAGTCTGGTGGCAGTAGGAGTGAACCTGGCTGAGGTCCTTCCAGGAGTAGTTTTAAGTCACCACTCTCTTACAGAGAAAAAGGTGTTGAGATTATCTACTTATCTGGACACCTTAGGCAGGTGAGAACCCTTTGGTTTGATTTGGTTGCCTGATTGTTCCTCAGACTTAACCCTCTATCACCTATTATATTTTTGTATCTGCTTCCCCAGTGCTTAGCACAGGGCTTGGCACACAGTACAAATGCTTTTTCATTCGTTCAGTGGTCTGAAATCCTTTAACGCTCATCATCTATGCTCCTCATCTGATTCCAACTACCTACTAGGAAGCACTGTTGTGTAGTTATTATTAATATTACTATAGACGTGGCATCTCTTGAATTGTTATCCTTCTTTTATTTATTTATTTGCTTATTTTTTCAGATTCATATATCCTGTCTCTCCAGCTGCATTATAGCTTTATCATGGGCAAGAATTTTGTGTTTTTCCTTTTTTTAAGCCCCTACAACACCTACCACTGCACTTCTCATGCTGCTAAGCCAAGCAACCACAGTTTGGAAGAAGAAGGGTTAAAATAAGAAGAAAAGCTTTAAGGGGCCCTGAAGCACAGCTGCAAACAATACCATACTACTGCCTGGAGTAGTGGGCAGCAGTTAGATACAGGGCGTGGAGAAGTTTGCCTTGAACCTTTGAAAGATGCAATTATGATCGGTTAGGGGAAAATATTATTGATAGCCACAATGGAAAAAGTGTGTATGACATCAAGGACCACTCGTCTACTGATCAGGCACTGGTCTTTTCAACTGCAGCCACAGTCATAAACCACTCTGTTGTGGGTACGATAGGACTCTGTCAGCGGTGAGAATTTGACAGGACAGGAAGAGAATGATGGAGACAGAATCTTGGGCAGCCCGGTGAATATGACAGGGAGACTTCAGTCCTCCTTCCCTCTGCTAAGCATGATATAATCTGGGGAGAGCGAGAAAAGACACCCACTTCCCCCAATGTACTCTTTGCTCTCAAGGGCAGGCTGTTGCTGTTGCTCTGCTTTTCTCACACCCATTTTCTCCCAAAGATCAGCAGCCCACATCCTGCCCCATCTAACCTCAGCCTTGCTCTAGCTCTGAGGCTGCTGCTTCCTCTGCGGAAGAGAGGAGCCCCATTCCAGCTCTGGCCCCCTCTAGAGCCTCTGATCGGTTGTCATTAGTGAGATTTTTGTGAAGGGTCTTGTAATAAGTGTTTGTTGCCTGTCCTTGTGTTGTGAGAACCCCAGAGTCCCTCTGCCTTTTTCATTTCATCCCTCCGCGTCGCCTTCCATGCGTTTGGCTCTGTCTTATCCTTTTCCTGTGCTTTCTGTCCACTTGGTGACTCTGTGATCTGAATCCCTCAGCTTTTTTCCCATCATTTATAAGCAGGTGTTACTTTCACCTATAGGAAACTTTTGGTCCCTAAAACCCTGCCCCTTTTTAAAACTGAGCCTGAAAAAGTCAACCAATTGCCCTTCAGATGTGATAACAAACAGTAGCTTTATCCAATCATGATTGGGAGTTTTACGACAAGAGGCCACATGGGGCAGTGGGGAAAGAGCTGGATTTGAGCACAAGCTCCACCACTTTCTAGCTCTGAGGCTTTGAACAAGTCATAATAGACTCACAAACCCTCAGAACTGGAAGGGGCCCCAGGGTTCTTCTAGCCTAAACCTGTAATTGAACCAGCGACCTTATCTCCAAAAAGTGGTTCTCTTGCCACCTATTAAAGTCTTCTAGGAAGAGAGGGCTCATTAACTATTTTTTTTTTGGTAAGGTAATTGGGGTTAAATGACTTGTATTTTTCTTTTTCTTTTTTCTTTTTAGGCAATTGGGGTTAAGTGACTTGCCCATGGTCACACAGCTAGTAAGTGTCAAGTGTTTGGTCTGAGGCCGGATTTGAACTCAGGTCCCCCTGACTTCAGGGCTAGTACGCTATCCACTGTGCCACCTAGCTGCCCCTGGCTCATTAACTTATGAGACAGCCCATTTTACTTTGGGATAGCTCTAATTGTTAAATGGAGCTGAAATCTTCCCCTCTGTGCCTCCCATCCATTGCTTTTAGCTTATTCCTCTGGGGCCAGGAAGATCATGCTGTAGGTCTCTTTCTCCTGAAAGCCCTTCAGATAGTTGAAGATATCGATGACATCAGCATTATACAAGTAGATTTAAAGTTAGTGGATTTGTGTTCAAATCCCAGCTCTGTCACTGCGCAACTTTGGGTAAAGCACATCTTCTCTGGGGCCCCATACCCTCATCTATAAAATAGAAAAGTTGGTTTCTTTAAGCTTTAAACTTATGTTCCTCTGATTCCCACCCAAGTCATTTCCTTCAACTAATCCCTAGATGGTGTGGTTTTTAGCCCCGTGTGATCATCCTGTGGTCCATCTTTGGATGTTCTCAAGCTCTTCAATGTTCTTTCTGAAATGTGACACCCAGAACTAAATACAGTAAAAGCACTGATTTGGGGTCAGAAAACCCTGATTTGAGTCCCATACCATATGTGATACCATAGGCCAGTGACTTTAAACTCTCTGGGCCTCAGTTGCCTCATCTATAAGATGAGGCAGTTGTATCAAATCATCTCTAAGATCCCTTCTAACTCATCTCATGATTCATATGATCTGATCAGGGCTGAGAACAGCAGGAGGGTTATCTCTACTTCTAGATGCCATGCTTCTATTAACTTAGCCTAAAACTGCATCAACTTTTTTAAAGGCCATGTCACACTGTTGACTCATATTGAACTTCCAGTACACTAGAACTCCCAAGCTTCTTTACTGTGAACTATATGACAGTGGATATGAGGTACCTAACCATGCCTTCCTCCATCCTGGACTTGTCCAATTGACTTTCTGAACCCAAGTGTAGTATTTTACATTTATACCTCTTAAATTAAATTTTATTATACTCTATCCTGTTGTGATCTTTTTAGATCTAAAGTCTGTCATCCAATACATTAGCTATTACTCAAAGCTTTGATACAGTTTATAATTTGATAAACATGACATCTATGTCTCCACCTAAATGGAGACATGATAAAGAACCAAAGACAAATTCTTGATGCATGATGCTAAAGATCTCACATCGGGTTGATTATTATTTCATTCCCCAGTCTTTTAATCAATTCCAAATCCAGCTAAATTCGCCTGGCTGTACTATCATTCAATGCATATCTTTTCCACAAGGATACCATGAGAGACTTTGTCAAATGCCTTGCAGAAATCCAGGTATAGCTTTTCAGGACTTCAGTGTCCTTTTCTATAAAATGAATTGTACCTGACAAAATTTTGGTAAGGAAAGATATTAAACTCTAAAGCACTATAGAAACATGATCACATAGCTAGAGTTTAAATGACTTTAGAGGCCAAATAGTCTAATGACTTCATTTTAAAGATGAGAAAATCAAGCCCCAAAGAGATTGTGAGTTACCCAAGTTTCCACAGGTAGTATCAGATAGGATTTGAACCCAGGCTCTCTGAATCTGTAATCAGTTATGATGATGATCTGGAGACTCAAGGAAGCCAGGATGTTCAAAAGGCTAAAGAAGTCTTTAAGCAGGGCTTCCTCCAAGAAGAACAACTCTTTCAACTCAAATGTACTTTATTGGGTTATCACAGTCTACATGACAACTAGACACTTCACAGAGAAGGTAGGCAAGATTAAGCTAGAGGGAAAGACTCTGGCACCAGACCCTATGTGGGGGACATTACACATGCCAAGCTCCAGAGAATACCAGAAGAGTGACAAGCTAGGTATGGAGAAAGGGATGGAACTAGGGGTACTGGGACAATTTGTCAATAGAAAAAGGAAGGCAAGACAAAGAAAACAAGGTAGAGCAGACCACAAAAACATTGTATAACGAAAGGGACAAGCAAGGATTCAAAGGTTCCAGAGCTTTTGGTTGATCCTCTAAGGTTGGTGTCCATGATAACGCCTTTTGTACCTTACAAATATAATTCAACACTAGGGGAAGAGTTATGCCCTATGGTCAGGGAATTAGAATGGAGGGCAAGAAGAACGTTGCTGAGGTTAAGACTGTGGGGGCAGATGAGTCAGTTTTTCTAGAAGTGGAATCAACATTTAGGAGAGAAAATCATTTTCCTTTTTGGATCCTGTAGTTCTGGGATGCCCCAGACTGGAGTGGGGATAGAGCACAAGGTAGAAATTCCAGAATAGGGGCTGCAGTAAATGCAAAGGGTCTTCAGGAGTTCTCAGATGGCTCTCTGATTCAGGCCAGCATACAGGTCCCGTTGACCTTTGCGGATGGGCTGGATGGAGCAGAGATGGGAATATTAGTGGAGAATAGATAAAGGTCAGGGGAGACATATTCTAAAAAATGAAGACCTAACATCCCTAAGATCTCTTATTTGACTTGGACCCAGGTCTTCCTAACTCCAAGAGTCCATCAAGCCTCTTTGTCATTTATTTATTTATTTTTTGGCTAAGGCAATGGGGTTAAGTGACTTGCCCAGGGTCACACAACTAACGTCAAATGTCTGAGGAAGGATTTGAACTCAGGTCCTCCTGACTCCAGGGCCGGTGCTCTATCCATTGCACCACCTAGCTGCCGCCTAGCTGCCCCCTCTTTGTCATTTATAGAGCTACCATTTTAGCGTTGTGAAAAAGCCCATCATAGCACTATGTCTGCTTAATGATTTACCTCTTTTCTCAAACTTGTTTCTTTGTCTACATATTCTTTGCCAATAAATGAAGAGGCCAGAAATTCCCAGGTATTCTAGATTCTGAGAAAAGGGGATGACATAGTTGATGTGAATGAATAAGGGAGATATTCTCAGAACATTTCCATTTCTTTGCTAGGATGGTAGCTTTAAAGCTTTCCCTAGTCACAAGGGAAGTTATGCTAAACTCTCAGTCCTCGGGCAAAAGGGACTCAGAGCCCCCAGGCTTAGATGAGCACCTTCACTTAATTCCCTGTCTCCCCTGCCTAGACCCCAAGGACTGAACTTCTTTCTCCCATTACCTCATAATCGGGATTGGGAACAGGTGGAGGCTTCTCCCTGTTTGCTCCTACAATACAGAGGAAGGGAAAGAGATTTATTACCAAGAAGAAACTCCTGCCTTTATCACCATAAGAGTGTCTCGATTGTTTCCAGGCCAGTGACAGAGGACAGCACCATTCATCCCTCCCTCCCCTCCTTGCTGTCTTTTTTCTTTCCCTTTCTTTTTTCACTCTTTTTAGGTCCCCTTCATTTTCCTCCCACCCTTTTGGATTTTCTTCTGCCCAGGATCCTCTAGTCTTCTTTTCACTGGGAAAGAAAAGGGGAAAGGCAGTAATAATAACATCCATATTTATGTAGTGCTTTAAGTTTAAAAAGTTTCCTCGAAATAGTCCTGTAAAATAGTACAATTATTATTATTGCCCCCATTTCATGGATGAGGCAACTGTGGTTCTGAGTCAAACCTATTGCTCAGTGTCACAGTGTCAGAGATGGGATTCTCTTGATCTTATGTCTAGTAGTCCTTTATTCAAAGATTTCTTGCTCTAGCTTGGAGGTAAATCAAACTGCCTTAGAGAACAACTGGATATTAGGAGAAGGGAATAACTACGGGATGACGCACACTTTTCCAGCATGGAAAGAAACATCAGTGACTTGAGTTACTAGGATACTTTGCCTAGTCCTTGCTGTCATAGTGAATCTGTGTTCCCAATTCTAGACATCCTTCCATCTTTGCTCTTATGGCTTCCTCCAGGCTAGCCAGGAAGAAAACACTCCTTTTCCCCTCCATGGTTACTCTAGGTTCTTACCTCTGGTCCTGCCACCAGCACCTCCTCCTCGACCAACAGGCTTGGCCTTGGCTTTTCGCCCTTTGCTCCAGTAATACACCAGGAGCAGTACTCCCAGAGTGACAAAGATATCAGCAATGACAATCCCAGCCACGGTCAGCACCTCCACCTCCACGCAACCATCACACACTAGAGGGGCAAAGAGGGAATTAAGATGTCAGGGGGAGATTGATTTGGGGGGATGGAAAGAAAGGAGGAGAGGAAAGGAAAGGAAATAGAAAAGGCAAAGGAGAAAAGAAAGGATGATTTTCTCCATACTTTGCTGTGACCAGAACGCTTACCCTCTAACAGGGTAGGTTTGGGGCCTCATCTGAATGTCCTCTTGTTGAATCATTCTCATCCTCATTCTCAGAGGGTGATATTTATTGATAAGTACCCTGGGTTTGGGTATGAGAAAGCAAGTGACACAGAAGAGTTTGCTACAGAGAGCATCTAAAAAAGACATGCATACACAAATAGAACCCAGAATCACAGAGGGTTAAATCTGGAATGTTAAATCAGGTCCAACCTCTTCATTTCTCATCCCCAGAAAGTATAGCTGACTTGCCCCAAGGTCACATGGTTATGAAATGGCATTTAAATCTAGTCAGCACAGGCCAGGCCTCCTGTTCCCAGATCATTTTTTTTTTTTTTTTTTTTTTTTTTTTTTTTTGGTGAAGCAATTGGGGTTAAGTGACTTGGCCAGGGTCACATCAGATCATTTCTCTATTCACTACTCCACAGTTCCTCCTTGCTAGTTTAGAGGTGATATGGTAGAATCAGAAGTTTAGTGCTATAAGGGACATTGGAAGTAATCTAGGTTAATTACTAAAGTACTGACATTTTGTAGAAGCAAGAGGGTCAGAGGCAAGCTGGTAAATGTTTAACAACTTGCTTTCAGGGTTGGGGGTTGGGGCAGGGAAATATATCCAACATACTTTTAAGCTTAATCTGAATTATTAACATTTCCTCCATCACTTTCTTAAATCTAGATAATTAATAGAGCAATAGATTAAGCCTTGATTTGTAATGTTTGCCAATTTATGAGGTGTAAATGCTCACAATGATAATTTAACAATCAGCTCTGGAGAGTCTGTTTAAGCTGGCTCGAGCACATTCTCCAACTCAAGAGGACTTAGTGCAATTGTGGAGAGAGAGCAGCTGGGGGTTTCAGGCAAGGCTTTGAGGGGTTCTGTCCCAGCGCCTGGTTTTCTGATCCTTGTTACCTCTTGTTTTCAGGTAGAGAAAATAGCCTTCTTGATCTTCTGACGATTTTCTTTTACAATGGAAGTGGCCGCTATATTCGGTCTCTGATTCTTTTAGGGTGAGTATATGGGTGTCCACGCCTTTTAATGGAATGTTGTTTTTCTTCCATGTTATCGCCTCATCCGTTGTCTCGGGGCAGGTCAGTGTCACTTCGGTTCCTGAAATGTAGACTCCAAATTCTGGATAACAGTAAAGAGGTGAGAGAAAAGGAAGGTTGGAAATAGAGACAAAGGTCAAATCTAAGGCACACTGCTAACAACAGTAAAGCAGGGCTGCAGCTCATCAGTTAATCCCTATTTAGATTTCCCTTCCCAGGGCAAAACTGGGGAACACTAACGAATATTCAGTATGAGATATGAGGCAGGAGGGGGAGAGGTGCCAAGGACCCCTTTTAAATATATCCCTAGGTTTAAAGATATATGATATGTCACTGGGGAATGAGGGGATAATTAAAGTAGGATGTGGCAAAGAAAAGTCTCCCTGCCCAGAGCCCCCAATTTATAGCCCAACAGATATGGTATAGCCATAACTAAAAATCCTAGCACCTGGGGCAAATTCAACTGGGGGGGCGAGGGAATAGCCTCAGCACAGAGGGCAGTCTGACAGTTGGTGCAGTTCTGTTGGGAGAGAGAGTGGCGGATTTCCTCCCCCCTCATAGAGCTTTCCTACCCACCATGGAAGGTGGGCCCTGGGAGACAGGTGCAATGGCCACAGAACTCTATGGGTAGTGAACTGAGGTGGTTGTGCAGAGTGGTCCAGCAGAGCCCTGTGAGGTGAGGTGCAGGGATGGAGACTGGAGGTCATCCTTTGGGATAGGAAGCATACTACTCTGTATATACTTAGACTCCACGAGGCCACTCTGGAGTCAAGCCCTATTCACCCTGTGCTATTTACAGTTCTGAGAAATGGGGATTAGTCAGGTAAGCCTGGCTGACAGGTTCATCAGGTTTCTCTGCCTTAATCTGTTTATTCCCTCCTTTGTCCCTAGGTCATACTCTAGACAAACAGTGCCAATAATGACGTCTGTGACGTCCAATTCTAAGTCCATTTATGTTGCTCTTTAAAGTTTGTAAATCATTTAATAACTCCAGGAATCTTCCTCAGATGAATCCTGGTCCTTCTTGAGGTCCTTGATGTGTTTATTAAATGCATATTCATTTCACTCAATAGAACTGAGGAGGCAGTTGCCATACAGTGAAGAATGCTAGATGAAGATCTGAGTTCAAATTCTGAGGCTGCCACATACTCAGGCTTGGTGCTTGGCAAACTTGTCTTGAGCAGATGTGGGCAACTTCTTTGTCTCTCTTTGGAACTCCATTTCTTCTTCCGTTAAGTGGGGATAATAATGCCTAAGATAACCTCACAGGGTTGTGGTAAGGATCATGTGGAAGTGCTATATAAATTATAAAAGCACTATATAAATGTCAGATGTTATTATTTGTAGTAATAATAATTGAATGCCACTGCATATTTTTTACTGCTAAAGCCTCCCAGGACATTTCCATCTCAAAGCTACAAAGACATTTTAACCTCTCTCTGAAAGAATGGAGAAAAACCAGGTTCTGTGGGTCATAATCAACTCACCGTAGTTCTTGTCATCTGAAAAGAAAAAAAAAGAAAGCAAAAAGGGTCAGAGAACTGTATTGCATGTAGGATCTTTTTCAGGGATCCAAGTTTAAATTTTACAAGGTACATATACACGCATACTCTTGGTCATGCAGAAACACTCAAAGCATTCTTCTACAAGTGTGTGTTCAGAGAGCTAACAGGACACAAACACCTGAGTCTTCCAGTCCACTCCTCTGCTTTTAGGTAAGACCATATACAAACCATTTCAGAGATAGGAAAAATCTGTTCTTAAAGATAAAAGATTCTACAATCTTTCCTAAACACCTCTTCTTGGGTTTAACTCATTGATATTTCCTAAGGGATTGAGACGAGCTCTTGATTTTGCACAAATCACATCCTGGGCTTCATTTTTCTTATCTGTAAAATGGCAGGGGGGAGGGGTTTAAATTAGATCAGGGGTACTTAATCTTTATGTGTCATGGACCCCTTTGGCAATCTGGCAAAGCCTATGGACCTCTCCTTAAAATAATATTTTTAAATGCATAAAATAAAATACATAGGATTGAAAGAGAAACTAATTATATCGAAATAGAGATACATTTTTCCTATCCAAGTTCACAGACACAACCTCTCTTCTCCCCCCCCCACATGCCTTAAAATCTATCTGTAGACCCTGGGTTAACAACACCTGGATTAGATGATCTTCAAAGTCTCTTCTGGCTCCAAAGTTAACATCCTTGTTCTCAGGAAGTTGTACTATTCAATTAATTCAATTCCTCATAGTGGAGATCAAGTCCATATTCTCTTATTCTGTACAGCATTCTTTGTGTAATTATCCACTGGTGATTTCACCAATGCAATCCAATCAATCAATAAGCGTTTGTTAGCCACTATGCTAGGAGCTGGGCCTGTTAGCCACTATGCTAGGAGCTGGGCCTATCGTACAAAGAATGAAACAATCCTGACGTTCAAGGACCATACAACCAGCTTGGGTGTACTTATTCCTGTACTCAACACATTCTCAGTCGTAGCAAGACAGATCTACTAGCACAACGGCTGATGAATGTTGTGTTAAAAAGTGGTTTGGGTTTGTATGGTCCCTGAATACAGTCACCTCTTATTTATCTGTCCTAATGAAAGGGAGTACTAGTATGGGCAGCTGAAATAATCCCCTGATCCAATTTGGGGACTTTGGCCCTACTCCCAAGGAAGGACATTGGATCCCATGGGACACTCTACTGCAGTCACTTGGGTCTGTAGCTAAGGCAAGCAAAATGTTCTCAGTGGGGATAATTCACCTGATAATTGGGAACTGATTTAATAAAAAGTGAAAAATGATGCTTCTTACTGTTATAAATTATTACTTATAACATGTAAGTATAACTTATAAATAGTTTATCTCAAAAAGGGAGCATGATATAGTGGATAGAGGGCCAACCTTTGAATTGTAAAGATGTAGGTTGAAATTCTTCTTCTGAAACTTACTAGCTATGTAACCAAACAAAATAACTAAATCCATGTAAACAAATCCATGCATCTGTATCTGCTCTGCTACCATATACATTAATTAACATAAGGACTCAGACTCTCTGTCTCTGTCTTTGTCTCTCACTGTCTCTCTGTCTGTCTGTCTCTCCACTGACACACACATCTCCACACAGCATGCTTGATGAAATATGCTATAAAACTCTTGAGGAAGGATAGGTTTCTTACATTAACAAGAAATACAGGTGCATTCTCTATGGATCCCATTAAAAAGTTTTTGCATTAATAGTCATTATGTCTATGGCTTATTGGAATCACTAAGATTCATTTTATGTGACCACTTTGTTTCATAATTTTAAAAAATTAGCAAAGTGAAAATCTTATAAGGTGGGACATTGGCCAAAAAAGAAACAATAAGGAGACCATTAGTAAACTTTCCTATCAATATCCCAAACCTATTATTCCTGTGGCTTGGGGATCCCTCTTATTCTCCTTCCAATTTCCACCCTTCTGTGCCTGCTCTATATGAAAAACCGTGTCCATCCTTGGATTATTGGAAAATCATTTAGTAGCCATGTACAGAAGATCTCTTGTGAGCGCAATCAGAACAACATAGCTGTTTGGAAAGTGCAACATTAACACAAGACAGCAAAAGCAGTGGTTGCAGTGGCTCTATCCACGCACACAAGGTATTCAACCATTTTGATTGAATTGGATTGAAGGGAAGATGACAGTGGAGGAGTCCCAGGGTGACTAGGACAGTTAGTTCGCTCACTCTATGTCATGTGTGCATTTGGCTGATGTGCAAATACCTAAACTCCCAGATGGAGTAGTCAAGATGTGACTGCAAGCACACAAGCACAAACACACACAACAGAGTACTCAGGCTGCAAACATTTGAGTACAAGCATACATATTATGGTATACAAATATGCACAAAGGAAAACTGAGGTTTACCTGGAAACAAACATCTACAAAAACCCAATGGAGACTTCAGGTGATATGGCATATACGCATGCACAAAGACACAAACATACTCCAATCACACATTGGAGTAACTGGACAGGATCACAAATATGCTTACACAGAGAGATACATATGATAGGAGTCTATTCAAATGTCCCACAACAAAACACTCACAGATAAATACAGAAACACTCAATTCCACTTAAGAGACTCAATTCTTTCCTTCAGAATAGTTAAGACTCTATATTTTCTTGTGTTTTCATTTTCTGGGTCATAAATGTCTCTTAGTTTGTAGGTAAAGGGAAAGTAAGGCTGTAGAGGAATATCACTGGTGATCTCTCTCCTCGGGATGCCCAGTGGTGAGAATAATGTTGTGCCACCATAAGATGAAGGAAAGATTGCCTTACCGTTATCCAAGTCTTGCCCCCAGACACAGGCTAGAAAAGAAAATGGAGAGAAAAAAATGAGCAAACTCTGTAAGTGGTTGGCATTGTAATAGAAACGGAGCGTTATCCTCCAGTCAAACCCATTAAGGACTTCTGAAGTCAAATCTTTTACCTCCTCACTATTGGAAAACAGATATTTTCCCCCGATAGACACTAAGACATTACCCCAAAGGCCCCTGTGGCCTAAGAGCCTTTGGTCATCCCAAGAATGGGACTGTACCAGGAGGTGTTTCATGTTAAACTTAAAAACATACCATGAGGCAAAGTAAAAGTGAAGAAGTGGGGCCAAGGGAATGGAAACAAGTCTAAGTCTAGCTCTTTGGAAGTTAGAGAAACATCAAAGAGAGTCTAAAACCACAGCCTCCATTTTGAAAATTGTTCTCTGGCTGGGTGGAAAACCAAACCTCTTTTGAAAGCAATATTCAGTGGCTCCCACTTGGATTCATGGTGGGGCACAAACATTGTGATTCATCCTTTAGCACAAGCTATTACTTCACTGATGGCCCATTTCTTCCACTTGTTTTCTGTCTATGGCAAAGGCTGAAATGCATTTTAATTACTTACTAGCTGTGTGATGATGAGAAATTTATTTCACATCTCTGGGCCTCCACTGTCTCATCTGCAAACAGGGATAATGATAGTTATCTAACCCCCACCCTCCAATCAATCAATAAGTATTTTAAGTATCTGTTATGTACCAGGAATTATGCTAGAGAATGAAAAGAAAGGATGGATTAGTTTCTACCTTCAAAGATCATACATTTGATTAGGAGAAAAGGCATGTACTCATACAAGTATATATAAAATGAATACAAAGTAATTCCATGAAAGTTTTCTTTGATTCTACCAATTGTTCATGTCTCCCACCTCTTGATAATAGATTGTTCTTATTTTAAATTTATTTTTATGTTTACGTGATGTTTCCACCCAGTAGAATATAAGGTCCCTGAGGGCAGGGACTATCATTTTTGCTGTTGCATCACTAGAATTTGCAATATTAGTGCCTAATATATAGTTGCTGAATTGAATTTAGTTGAAACATGAACTATAAGTTAAATTAATTAGAATAAATTTATTGTCGTTTGGTCCTGTGTGTCAGGAGTGGTGAAGAAAAACTACTTTTTGGTTTCCACTGGGCCTCCCTGGTTCACATGCTCAGGAATGACTTGCAATAACTGCATGACTAATCCCTCCAGCACTTGCTTCCTAAAGATTTTCTGTATTTGGGTCTGTCTCTCTCCTTGGACACCAGAAACCACCTAAAAGCAGGCTGGGCATAGCCCCATGATGCCAGACTACTTGGCAGTGTGCTCTGGGAGGTTCTGGTCACTGTGGCTCCCTCCTCTCCTGAAATATGCAGAAAGATCGTTTACCTCATACACCTCTGGGAAAATACTCTGCAGATTCCATAGAGGAATCTTACCTTACCTCCTGGCAACCCTTTGAGGCTAGATCAGAAAAGTAAGGCTATTTGCTGAGGCTCTCAGATAGAAGCCCTTTCTGTGAGAGTGTAGAGCCTTATCTAGGCCTCTGAGCTGAATCAGCCATTTTGTCTCAGGCTTCATCTCATAAACATTAAAAATATTCTAGAGTGTGGAGTCAGGGTCTTACCCCAACATCTGGCTCTTCCAGTGTAACATTGGACCAAATCTAGTTGGACCTTCAAGAATAAAGTCTAGTGATGGCTAAGTAAAGCTCTTTTGTGCTAACTTATGAGGCCATTGAGGTGCTGAAAGAGTTTTCTGAGGGTGAAAGAGGTATTTTTTTTTGAAGTATTTTCTTAAGGGCATCTAATCCTTTTTGCTTTCTGGACAGGATCATTTCAATCCCTGCTTCTTTTTCTCTCTGAATAGACCCTATTCCCCAGGCACCTGGAACATGGTTATTTCTGTTTCTTGACATCTGGAGCCTCAAGATTTAATTTTCCACCTTGCCTCTGTCTCTCTCAAACATGTTATTCTTCGCTTCTTGTGAGTGGGTCAGAGAAGTTGGTGCCCATTGTTAGACATGCCTGTGTGCCTCCCCTGGCCTTCCTTCACACCACCTTACTCACCTGAGAGAAGACAGAATCCCAGCACAGTCCAGAGAGTTTCCAACTGCATCTTTTTCTGCCTGGATCCTTGATCCAGCATTCAGGGTTTGGTGGGTTTATTTCTTCTGGAGTAATCTTGGATTGGTTCAAAGCTCCTGCTAGAAAGTGAGGACTCCAAGGAACATCTTTGTTGAATACTGCTTAGGGCAGGAGGGGGGTGGGGTTTGAAGAGGCCAGAAACAGGCACCCAAGATTAGAAGGGGAGGGCGGGTTTCTGAGTCCCATACAGGAAATGTATATGGGCTGTTGAGGCTGTATGACTCTCTCATTTGGATATATTCAAGGCAGGAGGCAACCACCTGGGGTGATTGTGAGAAGCCAGGCCTGAGTTCCCTTAGCAAAAGAAAGAAAGACTAAGAAGAAGTTTGGGGCTATATATAAAATCAGTAGCCAGTCTTGTTCACTCTGGATTCTCACTGTTTACACAACTAAGGGGATATATGGAGTGAGAGGGGAAAGGATGAGGTTCTTTTGTCAGAATAGAAATGCCTTCATCGAGAACAAATTGTGTTTGCAACATACGAAGTATTTACAAATGAAATTTTCCCTTTTATTCCCTCTTTCTACCAACCAGATGGTTAGTACTTACTTTCAGGGTATATAGAGGAAAATATTTAGTAAAATCATTTTTGTCCCCACTGGGATAGATATTGGGACCTGTGATTTCATTTAAATTTGGATGCCACAAACAATTCTCATCAGGAGCAAAAATAGTAAGTTTCTAAAAAAATGTAGATGAACAGAGTACTTATTGAGCAACGTAGATATGTAGGTTAACTACAAAAAGGTGGAAAGTGATAGGTGTTAGCAGTCAGAATTAACAAACACTATGTTATTAGACATTTTTGCTTATAACTGTGAGAAGAGATACCTTTTGTTGGTGATGAGCCTTTTTAGAAATTTGTCAAGAAGTATCTGTTTTGTCAAAAACAACTTGCCAATTTAAAAAAAAACTGGTGGGAAAGATAGAAACAAGGGAAAATAACTGAAGCTGAATACAAAAGAATGTTTAACTTCTGGAGGAATAGTGTCACGAGCATTGGATCTTGAAATAAACTAAGGCTGATGATGAATGCTAAATTGGTAAAATAGACTGATTTATGTTGGGAGCAAGAAGATCAAAGAAGGCACGGGTCTGCTGTTTGGCCTGGGTGTATCAATCATAATAGATAATAGAGTGAACACATATCTTAATAACTTTTATTTTGCTTCTGTTTTCTCTGTCAAAGAGAATGATTTTTGGAAGGGGAAGGATAAGATGAAAATGATTAATAGGAAACTGAAATCAAGAGATGTGAAGAGATCATAGAAAGGATATAGTTGCCTTAAATGAATCACTAAATTTTGGGGAACTACATTCCAGGATACTAAAAGAACTAGAAGATGTTATTGTGTTAATATTGGTAATTGATTTGAAAAATCAACACTTTGAAAAAAGAACAGGAGCTATATAAAAAATCAGTAGCCATTCCCAAATAGATAAGTTGTCAAAGAGTATGAAAAAACAAATCTCAAGAGAATTGCAAAGTATTCACAACCACATCAAAAAATGCTCCAAATCATTAATAAGAAAAAAATTCAATCCAATACAACTCTGAGGTTTCACCTCACATTTACAAATTGGCAAAGATGACAAAAGAAGGCAATAATAAATGTTGGAGGGGTAATAGGAAGACAGGCACATTGGTACATTGTTGGTGGAATTATGAAATGGCAAAACCATTTTGGAAAGCAATTCGGACATATACAAATAAAGTGACTAAGATGTCCATATGCTTTGACCTAGGGATTTCTTAGAGGGCTCATACTCCAAGGAGGCCATTTGATAAGAAAGTCCCTATTTAAACCAAAACATTTATAGCAGGATTTTTTTTGTGATAGCAAAGAACTGGAAACAAAGTAGGTGTCCATAGATTGAGAAATGACTAAACAAATTATGGTACATGAATCTAATAAAATATTACTGTGATGAATGTGATGAATACAGAGAAAAGCACTGAAATATCTATATGAACTGATATAGAGTGAAGTAAGCAGAGTCAAGAAACTATACACACAATGACACCAACAATGTAAATGGAAAGAACAACCTCACACCTACAAAATCAAAATTATGAAGAACAAACATGACTCAAAAGAAGAGATATGATAAGAATCTCCCAACCCACCCCTTTGTGGAGGAGGAAGGTCCACAGGTGTTGCATATTACATATATTTTCAGATTTTTTCAGTGTATTGATCAGTTGTGATGATTTCTTCCTCTCTCTCTCTCTCTCTGTATTTAAAAATTCTATTGGTTAAATGGGATGGTTCTCTGGGAGGGGGAGGGAGATACTGGAGGAGACAATGATGATGTAAAAAAGCAAAAGAAATCAATAAAAAAAACTTATTTAAAAATAAAAAAGAACAGAAGCAGTACCATTAAGTTTGAACACAGGCAAATGTCTCTTTTTCTTGGCATTAAGTGACTTGTGCAGGGTCACACAGCTAGTAAGTATCAAGTGTTTGGTCTGAGGCTGAATTTGAACTCAGGTCCTCCTGACTTCAGGGCCAGTGTTCTATTTGCTGCGCCACCTAGCTGCCCCTCAAATGTCTCTTTTTCAAAAAAGAAAGAAAAAAAGAAAAAGTACAGGCTTTGAACTATGGACTGGTCAGCTTGACTTGGATTCTTGACAAAATTCTAGATTGCATTGTCAAAGGGATGCTTTGTAAGGACTTAGAAAGGGAAGTGGTAATCACAAGGAGTTGATAGGGATTCATTCAGAACAAAACATGCCCAAGAACTATTAGAAAAACTGGAAAGCAATTTGGTAGAAAAATAGGTTTAGAATAGCATATTATACCACATACCAGTATAAATTTCAAAGGGACCTAAATGTAATACAGGGTTAAATATCTGTGCCCCCATCTGATGCCTCAGGGAGGTCCCAACATGAGGAAACAGAGGGCAGTGACATAATTCTTGGCCAGGGTCTGACTAGCAGTGATAAACAAGCAAGGAGGAGTGGTTAGAGTCCTGTATAGGTCAGTTGATGAACAAGATAGCAAGAAGCAATGAGAGAGAGGACTGGAAATATGAGAAGTAAAATGGAATCATCAGGAACTGGGGTCTACAACATTCTCACTTACATCCCTCAATCTCTCTCTCTCTCTCTCTCTCTCACACACACACACACACACACACACACACACACATACACACACACACACACACACACACCTTTTAAGAAGTCATAAGTCCATCAGCAGTATTTGGGAACCATCATGCTGAACTAGCCCTCTTTGTCTCAGGTATCCTTAGATGGCTAGGTAATGAGGGGACAACTGTGTGAGGAAATGCACAAGTGAAAGTGATACAATCCAAGAATAAAGATGAGGATCCTCATGCACCTAAGTAAAGGGTCTTAGATTGCCCTAGAGTGCCTTTTACTGTTGAGACAATGGCAGAAGTTGTTATGATGTACAACAGAAATGTTGAGCTCATGACCCATGTGCTGCACACCTCAACCCAAACCAGATCAAAATGTAATCAGGAAATGTTTGACAAAATAAATGAAAATCTAATGCAATATAGATAATGTTAATTAATGGTTTTCTAAGTCAATATGTGGCCCAAGGAGAATCCATTTCTATTTGATTTTGTTACCACCACTGTATAACACTGTAACAGATCCCATAGAGTTGTATCTGCCAAGTATTTTTCAGTGAAATATGAAAACAAGGTTCTCATTGGAGGGAAGGGGGACTGTGGGAAGTTTGAGAAGGGATGAAACATGCAGTTTCTAATATTTTACAGTTGTCCTTTGCATTTATGTTGTTATAATCACTGTATGTATTGTTTTCCTGGTCTTGCTTATTTCCATTTGTCTCAATTAATATGTGTTTCTATGTTTCTCTGAATAACCCAGATTCTACTCATATCTAGACTGATTTTACATACTGCGACGTATGCAGAGGGAGACACAGCTTCTGAGAGGTGGGGAGAATGCTGAGTGTGACACCGTGTAAAGGACTTAATGAGTTAATTGCACACACTCTTTGGGAGATGGGTGGACAGAAGCCTTTCCAGGGAAGTGATGGAGAAAGAGACAAACTCTGGAATGCCTGGCACATATCAGAAACTGGTCTTATCATGTCCTTGGACTCACTCGAAATTCTAGAGACTGCTGAAAATGGATCTCCTTTGTAAGATTGTTCTCTTCTGGTTTGAGCTGAGATCTTCTCCCACTCCCACCTAAAAAACTCATTTACTTTGGGAATTCTTTTGAATAGTTTAATCTGTATAACTTTTATTTGCTATTTGTGATGGTCTTTTGGGTAACTAGCATTTGGTAGGAACAGTAAACTAAGGGCTACCTTCCCCTCAAGAGGATCAGGAAACTGGCTTTTGTTCCAAACCTGTCATCCTTTAGACTATCAATATTTGAGGGAAGAAAAATAAATATAATCCAAGTCCACTGCCCCTCTGGGTCACTGGAGGAAAAGAGCACCCAGCCCCAATAACACTCCTGGGGCTTGCCTGCCCCTTCCCCCCCAGATAGTGGGCTGCTGGTGCCTGCATAACCTTTGGCTTTACTCACCACAGAAGTGCACCAGACCTCAGATCATATCTATCCATATCATCTGTGAACCATTTCTATATATTTATATAACCCATAGTGGAACATGTATTATATCTGAATTCATAATCTCATCACTTACTACAGCATGGTTATATTCCATTACATTCATATAACACAATTTATTTAGTTATTCCCTAATTGATAGGCAGGGTACCATCTCCACTTGTCCTGATCTATATCTTGCCACTGGACCCAGTTGGCTCTGGAGGAGAGAGTGAGGCTGATGACTTTGCATAGCCCTCCCTCAGTTAAATCCAATCCACTTGCAAATCATGGCATCACCTTCCTGATGTCATGGTCCTCTTTGAGAATGAAGGATAAGCAAAAACAATTGATAGGCATCTACATTGTTTCCATCTCCTTACTCTCTCATGTGTTGCTATATTTTGGTGTATATGGAGCCTTTCTTTTTGTCAACGTAAAAAGAGGCCTACATGTAGAGGGGCCCCACATGGGGCAAAGGCTGTCCCCATCCATGTAGCATGGAGGTGTCATTGTATGACTCAAAAGGAGGCAGAATATATATCTCTAGCCTCTTTTCCTCCTACCCTTT